AAGACATTTCTTTTTTCTTGTAATTCAGGATTCATACTGTATTGGGTGGTTCTGGATGTTCTAGCAATCTTGGGATTTTCCAGTCTTCACCTTCTGAAATTATGGCTCCTATCACTTCTGAAATTAATACTCTGAAATTATGGCTCCTATTACAAAAGTGGAAGTGGGCAAAGAATATGTTAGCCCTCGACCCCAGACTCTACCCTTGGATGCACATTTTCTTACAAAATAGATGTATTGAATCTCCTGGAACTGTACAAAAGTGATGATTCACTTTTTCAATAGGTTGTAGTGTCTCTTCTGAATTGTTTTACATCAAAATTACTTACTTTTTAAAATGCTATTATCAGCCATTTATGTATATTTGTATGTATTTGTGTGTGGGGGGGGGGAGGGGAGTCTGTTTGGTCCATAAAATATCCCAAGGGCAGAAAATAGAGAACCCACCCATCAAAGTAACACAAACCTTCACTAGAAGTGATGAGGGAGTATGAGTTTTTGTTGTTTTTTTTCTTGCTGTTGTTGTTATCTTTATTTATACCCTGCCTTTCTCTCCATCAGGACTCAAGGCGGCTAACAATCCCATACCAGAAAAGTTTTTAAAATGCAGTACAAAAGTTAAAAAAAACAATTAAATAGTAACAGTGTGGTAAAAGCAGAATCAAAATACAATAAATACACTTAAAACGGCCCTTAAAACTCACAGCCTGCCCCTTATCCTTCCCCAAATGCCTATTGGCAGAAGAAGGTCTCCACCTGTTTCAACAGTTTGTTAAATTTTCACCATCAGGGCAGTTCATAGGAATGGACATCTTATATAAATAAAAATGTAATGTTTGTTTGTGGGATTAACATAACTCAAAAACCACTGTGAATTGACACCAAATTTGGACACAATACACCTATCAGGCCAAGATGTCCATCACCCCTAAAAACACACAAAAAAATACCCAGCAGAACAGACTTAGACTTAAACCCCCCACCCAAATAAACTATATATACATATACACATACACTCATATATATATATATATATATACACACACACACACATGCACACATACAGACACACACACATATATACACAAGCACACACAAATATACACATACATATACACATCCACACATATACATAAAGACATACACACATATATACACAAGCACACACATATACACAATATGCATATACACATATAAACACAGAAATACACAAATATATACATACATATACACACATATATACACACACATATGCACACACACAGATACATCTATCTATCTATCTATCTATTTGTGTATATATTTGTGTATATGTGTATATATGTGTGTTTGCATAGATAGATAGGTAGGTAGGTAGGTAGGTAGGTAGATAGATAGATAGAGATATGTGTGTGTGTGTGTCTGTATGTATGTGTGCATGTGTATATGTATATGTGTGTATGTGTATATGAATATATAGTTTATTTTGGGGGGTTTTAAGTCCGTTCTGCTAGTTTTTTGTGTGATTTTAGGGGTGATGGACAGTCATTGGCCTGATAGGTGTATTGTGTCCAAATTTGGTGCCAATTCTTCCAGTGGTTTTTGAGTTATGTTAAGCCCACAAACGAACATTACACTTTTATTTATTTATCTGTCTGTCTGTCTATATATACAAACACACATATATACACATATACACACACACAAAACATATATACAGAGTGGGCCACAGCAACGCGTGGCAGGGGACGGCTAGTAAAAAATAAAATAGAACTAGTTTTGTTCGGCTTGAATCATTATAAGACATGTTTGTGGGCCTCTCTAGGTCCCCCAGTGCAATTCTTTGGTATGCTTTCAGCCCATGTATAGTCAAAATATAGAGCCCACGGTTACGTGCTAATTCAGGTATTAACAGGTTGTCTTGGAAGGTATCTCAAATGGATATAAGAGTTGTACTGTAATGTTTTTCATATTTCCACCGCTGTTAAAAATGTTCAGATTTTTGTGTCTTTTGTGTTTTGACATTACATAGGATGACTTGAAAAGGCCATCCCTTTTAAAGCAGTTTATAAATAAGAGAAACCAATAACTATTTTGTTGTCGCCAATGTCACTGTTGTTCTTCCAGGGGCCGTATCAAGCACCTTGATGTGGTGGCTCTGCTCCGGCGCATTCAGCCACCCCTTGGCTTTGGAAAGCTCTGCCCACACCGAGTAGCCTGCAAGGTAATTACAAAAGGCCTCAGGAGTGCGAGCAATTTGTGACTTCCTTCTAGTAGGACAGTAAACGTCTTCAAGCAGCATTCTTGCCCAAGATTGCAGGACTTCATTCTGTATTTCTTCTATGACTCAGGAAGGGAAATAACTAGAACAGGAAATGCCATACTGACTGGGAGATTCTGGGAGCTGTAATCCAAAGAAGCAACATTTTCCCCAATTCTGGAAATATTTTTTCTCTCTGCAGAGATTGGTGGCTATGAACATGCCACTGAATGCAGATGGAACAGTCACCTTCAATGCTACCCTATTTGCCCTGGTGCGGACTTCCCTTAAGATCAAGACAGAAGGTGAGCTATAAGACATTCCCCTCCCTGGGAATCTGAGAAGAGGGAAAACTTTGCTGGGATGACACAATAATAGTGGGCTAGTCAGCAAAACAAATATATGTGGCATCAAATATGATATATTGTTCACAAATGAGTAAATATGAATGAGAAACTCTAAGCTCCTAGGTTCTTTAAAAAATATCCTTTGTGATAGTCTCACTCTTGTACTAAGTTTTGATTGAACATCAAAAGAAATGGTAATAGCAGGGTTGTAGGTTTTTTTTTGGTCTATATAGCAATGTTCTAGAGGCATTCTCTCCTGACATTTCGCCTGCATCTATAGCAAGCATCCTCAGAGGTAGTGAGGTAATAGCAGTTCAGCAATGGAACCAACTGCCTATAGATGCAGTGATGGCTCCTTCTTGACATCAAAAAGAGACTGGACAGTTACTTGCTGGGGAGCCTACATTATGCAAGGGGTTGGACTCAATGACCTGTGGGTCCCTTCTTTGTCTGTGTTCCTGTAAAAGTCTCATTCTGGTCATTCCTTTTATAGGGGATTTGGATGTGGCTAACAAGGAACTCCGTGCTGTCATCAAAAAGATCTGGAAACGAACAAAGCCTAAACTACTGGATGAGGTGATACCTCCACCAGAAGGTCAGTATTCCTTCTGTCCTTGGAACAACAAATCCACCGGGCTGTTGTAGGTTTTTCAGGCTATATTATTTTATTTATTATTATTAACTTTATTTGTACCCCGCTAGCATCTCCCGAAGGACTCAATGAGGCTTACAAAGGCCAAGGCCTCAAAACACAACATAACAATACAAGCAAAGCAAATCAAACAGTTAAGCGATATTAAAACAACAAGCAATAAAACAATACACCAAGACACAATAAAACTGGGCCGGGCCAGAGTAATGGGTACAGATTAAAAGTGCTGATGTGACAGGTGTTATGTAGGATTATAGGGTAAGTGCAGTGTGCCGGCAATCTTAATTTCTACTAAAGTGTTTCTGGGGGTTGGTGTTGGAGTTTTCCTATTCTGGAAAGGCACATCGGAACAGCCAGGTCTTCTAGAAGCATTCTCTCCTGACGTTTCACCTGCATCTATGGCAAGCATCCTCAGATGTTGTGAGGTCATCCTTTTCTCAGGCCTTCCAAACATTAAGGGAGTAGTAAGGAGCAGGGATCAGAGCTTATGTTTGTACTGGGGCCTTTCTGAATTTACAAGCTATGGGGCAGCTGCCAGCCATGCTGGGTTGATGGTACTTGTCACAATATTTCCAACTTACATACAAATTCAACTTAAGAACAACCTATTTATTTTATTTTTATTTATTTAGAAGATTTCTATACCGGCCTTCTCAACCTCGGCGAGGGACTCAGGTCGGTTTACAGTGCATATCAAATACAATCATATAAAACAACAATTACAGGTCAATACATATTAAAATAGTACAACTCAGTACAATAAAAACCTCATTGTTACATCATTACACAACTGGGGGCTCCAGATGAGCCTATACTTACTCATAACCTGGGAACTGGCTGTATGTGTGGACAGATAGATAGATAGATAGATAGATAGATAGATAGATAGATAGATAGATAGATAGTTTCCTTCAAGTCATTTCCAACTTATGGTGACGTACTACTACTACTACTACTACCAATAATAATAATAATAATAATACTAAAAACTTTATTTATACCCCACCACCATCTCCCGGAAGGGACACGAGGCAGCTTACACAAGGCCAAGCCCGTCAAATACAAATACAACAATACATCAACAAAAAAGCAAGCAAATAAAACAATATAAATAATACCGTTAAATATATAAGCAATAACACACAAGATTTGAAAACATTATGGCAGGGCCAGATGTAGATTAAAATTTTAAAACCCTGGGCATGTACAGAGTAGGGTATGTCTAGGCATGGGGGTTTTAAAGAGTGATATGGGGGGATCAATCCAACAGATAGATAAAGTGCTTCAGAGGACATATGGAAGGAAATTGGTCAGATCAGGCATTATTTCCTTCGTTCAGGGAAGGCACACTGGAACAGCCATGTTTTCAAGCTCCTCCTAAAGACTGCCAAAGTGGGGGCTTGTCTGATATCTTTAGGTAGAGTTCCAGAGTCGGTAGGCCACCATATAAAAGGCCCTCTCCCTCGTCCCCACCAATCGCGCCTGCGTAGGGGGCGGGAGTGAGAGCAGGGCCTCTCCAGATGATCGAAGAGATTGTGTGGGTTCGTATACAGAAATGCGGTCACGCAGGTAGGCGGGTCCCAAACCATTCAGGGCTTTGTAGGTAAGAACCTGCACCTTGAATTGGGACCGGAAAATGAATGGCAGCCAGTGGAGCTCCTTAAACAGGAGGGTTGACCGCTCCCTGTAAGTCGCTCCAGTTAGTAATCTGGCTGCCGCCCGTTGGACCAATTGAAATTTCCGAGCCGTCTTCAAGGGCAGCCCCACGTAGAGTGCATTGCAGTAATCCAATCTGGAGGTGACTAAGGCATGGACCACCCTGGCCAGATCCGACTTCACAAGGTACGGTCGCAGCTGGCGCACGAGTTTTAATTGTGTGAAGGCCTTCCCAGCCACCACCGACGCCTGAGCTTCAAGCATTAGCGATGAGTCTAGGGGGACACCCAAGCTGCGGACCTGTGACTTCAGACCTAAGGCCTGTCACAGGGTTTTCTTGCAAAGATTTGTGCAGAAGTGGTTCAACTTGCCTTTCTCTGAGGTTGAGAGGGCATGATTTGACCAAAGTCCTCTGGCAGGTTTTCACAGCCAAGCAGGTATTTGAATCCTAGCCTCCAGAATAGTCCAGAGCAACTACGCTGGCTCTCTCATACTCAGACATATACACACAAATGAAACATAATGATACATCAGGTACTTTATGATGCAAGATGGAGATTATCTTCAGAACTCATCATCATCATCATCATTTTATTGCTTATTAATCGCCCTCCATCCAAGATGCTCTAGGAGATTTACAAGCTAAATTGTAAAGGATAAAAATACATACATACAGATATTGATAAAATTAACATAGATCAAAAGCTCTAGTAAAAAGCCAGGTCATTTGCAATCTTGTTATTCCTTTGACACATGGTGGGAAAGATGAGGTCTTGCATCCCCTTGAAGATAATTACCTTTCCAATTGACTTGATCCTTAATAGGTCTCTGACTTTTAAAAAGCAGCCTGGCTGGTATTACGAAGCTTCTTGGAAGCGTGGTTGTTCCAAGAAAGTTGTGCTTCTTAACAGCATGTGTTTAAATATTCCCTTGGCAGAGGAGGAAGTTACTGTTGGAAAGTTCTATGCCACGTTTCTGATCCAGGATTATTTCCGTAAATTCCGTAAGAGGAAGGAGAAGGGGATGCTGGGAGCAGATGGATCCCCAAGCAACTCTTCTGCTCTGCAGGTGAGTCTCTCCTTGTCATAAATGTGGGCCTCCATGCCAGGAGGCCAATAAAACGATGAATGCAGCATGGATTCTTGGCCAACTCTGATGCTATTCTCCTGGTGCCTCTTCCCTCATTCAGGCTGGTTTGAAAAGTTTGCAGGACTTGGGACCTGAGATCCGTCGGGCAATGTCCTGTGACTTGGAAGAAGAGGAGGAGGAGGAAGAAAATGGGGAAACGGTGTGTGAGGAGGAGACTGTGACCTACAAGGTGAGACTTTGACATAGTATTGCATCTAGTGGACTGTATCAATTTGGACATGGGTAGGCATGTTGCTATATTTGTATGTATATAAACTAGCTGTACCTGCCCACGCATTGCTGTGGCCCATTATGGCGAAATGGGAAAGAAAGAAAAGAGGAAGAGCTGGTCTATAATGTCTATATGCCTATAATAATATATATAGGTCATAATAATATCCATATGTCGATAATAATATATGTCTGTCAATAATATCTATACACCTATAATAATAATACCTATATGCCTATAATATCTATGTCTATAATAATAATATCTATATACGTAAAATAATATGTATATATCTATAATAATAGTGATATAATATATATATATATATATATATATATATATATATATGCCTATAATAATATCTATAGGTCTGTAATAATATCCATACATCTGTTGCCCGTTTTTGCTCGAGAGATATTCAGCCCTATGCTCCTTCTATTTTTATCAATTTTATACTAATTTATGCAATACTTTTGATATGAAATAAATACATAACATCTATAATAATAATACCTATGTGCCTTTAATAATAATATTTGTGTCTACAATAATAATAACTATATGCCTCTAATAATATCTATACATCTATAATAATAATAACAATAATAATAATACCTATATAATATCTTTGAACTGGGTTATATGGCAGTGTGGACTCAGGGAACCCAGGGCCCTTCCACATATCCATATAACCCTTTGCCTCAAGGAGACTGAAATGGGCCTATATTAGGTTGACACTTTGCCACTTCAGTTGTGTACTGATAGCTTAGAAATGAGCTCTTCCTCTTTTTTTTCTTTCCCATTTCTCCACAATGGCCCACAGCAACGCGTGGCCGGGTACAGCTAGTGTGTGTGTGTGTGGATCATAATAAATTGTGGAAAATTCTTGGTGATATGGGCATACCAAATCACCTTGTCTCTCTCCTGAGGAATCTGTATAAGGACCAAGTAGCAACAGTAAGAACTGACCATGGAACAACAGACTGGTTCAAGATTGGGAAAGGCGTACGGCAGGATTGTATACTCTCACCCAACCTATTCAACTTGTATGCAGAATACATCATGCAATGTGCGGGGCTTGACGAATGCACGGCTGGGGTGAAAATTACAGGAAGAAACATTAACAACCTTAGATATGCAGATGACACCACTTTGATGGCCGAAAGTGAGGAGGAGCTGAGGAGCCTTCTAATCAAGGTGAAAGAAGAAAGCGCAAAAGCTGGGTTGCAGCTAAACATAAAAAAACCAAGATTATGGCAACAAGAATGATTGACAACTGGAAATAGAGGGAGAAAACGTGGAGGCAGTGACAGACTTTGTATTTCTAGGTGCAAAGATTACTGCAGATGCAGACTGCAGCCAGGAAATCAGGAGATGCTTACTTCTTGGGAGGAGAGCAATGTCCAATCTCGATAAAATAGTGAAGAGTAGAGACATCACACTGGCAACGAAGATCCGCATAGTAAAAGCAATGGTATTCCCCATAGTCACCTACGGATGTGAGAGCTGGACCATAGGGAAGGCTGAGCGAAGGAAGATAGATGCTTTTGAACTGTGGTGTTGGAGGAAAGTTCTGAGATGCCTTGGACCGCCAGAAGATCCAACCAGTCCATACTTCAGGAAATAAAGCCTGACTGCTCATTGGAGGGAAGGATAGTAGAGGCCAAGATGAAGTATTTTGGCCACATCATGAGAAGAAAGGAAAGCTTAGAGAAGACAATTATGCTGGGGAAAATGGAAGGAAAAAGGAAGAGGGGCCGACCAAGGGCAAGATGGATGGATGGGATCCTTGAAGTGACTGGATTGACCTTGAAGGAGCTGGGGGTGGTGATGGCCGACAGGGAGCTCTGGCGTGGGCTGGTCCATGAGGTCACAAAGAGTCGGAGACGAATGAACAACAACTGTGTGTGTGTGTGTGTATATATATATATACATATATATATATCCCTCTGCAAAGAGAATACATAGTAGTGGCTGTGATAAACTACAACTCTTTTTCATGACGAGCACTAGTTTTTATTTATAGGGGATATTTCTGTATGGAGGGAAATGTCAATGAATTGTTGTTCATTCGTTCAGTCGTCTCTGACGCTTCGTGACCTCATGGACCAGCCCACGCCAGAGCTCCCTGTCAGCCGTCACCACCCCCAGCTCCTTCAAGGCAGTCACTTCAAGAATCCCATCCATCCATCTTGCCCTTGGTCGGCCCCTCTTCCTTTTACACAGTCAATGAATACCAAGTTGTTTTGCTGTCCCTCAGCTGAAGGTTTGGATATTAAGATATTGTTGATCTTTGACTGCGCTATTGGTACTACCTATGGAGCTTGAATGAGTGGATTTTGCCTCACATTCACAACAAAATCAATTCCCAAGCCTCTAACTGGAGAAAGAAATTCTGTGACTGGAGTGAAAGATTTTATGCTTCTGTGGTTTGAATCCCTTTCTTGGGTCACCAAATTTGTTTTAGCCAACTAAGGCACATAACAGTTCTGATCACCCAGACAAGAAGTGTGCCGCCGTGGAGAGTTGAGGTGCAGCGATCAGATCTGAAAAGGATTTGTAGGATAACATTATATACAAATTGATGGAGAGCATATGATTTTCAAAGACAAAGCCTGCTTTCTGTTTCTTACCTTTTCCTCCCAGTCGGTTTTGTTCTAAATGCAAATTAAGTACATTTCTACGAGCCAGTTCTCTCCGCTTCTCTACCCTCGCTGTTCTGTGCTCAGAATGGGGAAAAAACGGCAAATGTGTTTTTGGGAGAGCAGATGTGTGTGCAATATGTTGCTCTGTACTGTAGAAATGAAGAGATTGAAAGGCTGTGTGGTGTTTGGAGAAGGAAATGAAATGCTGCTTCGCTTCTGGACTTTTGACTTCTCTGGTTCCAAAGGGAGGCAAGGCGAGACATTTGCTGAGATTGCAAACATCTCACCTTGGGGCTCACATACCACTGTTCTCCTGAATTGATTGTTTTGCACACATTAATCCCAGGTTAAATAGGCTCACAGAGAGAAAGTGCCTTGCCCATCCCAATGCCAACCCCCAAATCCTGGAAAGAGCACTTTGATTTAGAGTTACTTACTGGGTAATTGCTAAGTGGAGAGATGATGTGGCTTAACATATACCCTCAAATCTAAAAGCATTTCTCCCACATATGTGGGAGAAAGCTGAGTAGTTCTAATTTTCAGTGTAATGCCAATTTGCGCTACACATTTCCCAGTGCCAAATCTTAGCATCAAAAATCAGTTCTGTGTTTATAGAATCATAGAATCATAGAGTTGGAATAGACTTCGTAGGCCATCCAGTCCAACCTGTTCTGTCGCGCACTGGGCCTGTAACAGCTGTCTTTTCTATAGGACGTATACTTTAAGCCCAGCGGGAAGCCGGGGCGCCTCAAAGAGAGGTTCTCAGGGATTTTTCTGAAGTGATGGTCTTTAGAGTCTTTAATGATACAACAAAGTCTTTATTATGGAACAAACAACAAATCTTCAATGGTTCAAACAACACTTCAAGGCTTTATTAGTCTAGTCCTCCATGGACTGGTACCTGACTTTAATTAACTGTACTTTCTCTGTAGAAAAAGACACTTTTTAACCTCTCCAAGGCTGTTTACTATCTATGCCTCATTGGTGTGGATCCTACTACCGATTCCAAATGCGTCTGGGTATAGGGTAGAACTACCAGCCGAGGCTTGTAGATATTTCAGACGGAGTTCCGTGGATCTGTAGTGCTGTTCTCCCTTCGAGAATTCTTAGAAAACTTTAGGGCTGTTTCCCTCTGATGCTGTGAGTCTGAGAGGCTGTGAGCTCTCAGCCAGAGCTTTTGGGACCTTTCCCAGGAATCTCTGTTTCTGTATCCCCGGATGTTCCTTTTCCCTGGATGCTCTTAAGAAAGGAAGCTTTTCTATGGGACAAGCTGGTCTACGTCCTATAGCTTAGCTACCTTGTGTGAGACTGCCCCAAAATGGCTCCTTTCCCTCCCAGAGCCCTGAACAAGGGGCGGAACCAAAGCTTAATTATGATGGACAGGTGACCTGCCCTATGATTGCAAACTTTAACAGAAAGAAAATAAAGTTGGAGCTCCTCGTACAGCTCCTGGTACAGCCCCTTGCCAGCACACAACCCCTTGCCAAGAAGCAGGAAAATCACATTCAAAGCACCCCCGACAGATGGCCATCTAGCCTCTGTTTAAAAACCTCCAAAGAAGGAGCATCTACCACATTCCGGGGCAGAGAGTTCCACTGCTGAACAGCTCTCACAGTCAGGAAGTTTTTTCTAATGTTCAAGTGGAATCTCCTTTCCTGTAGTTTGAAGCAATTGTTCTGCGTCCTAGTCTCCAGGGCAGCAGAAAACAAGCTTGCTCCCTATGACTTCCCCTCACATCTTGATACATGGCTCTCATTATGTGTTCTCTCAGCCTTCTCTTCTGCAGGCTAAACATGCCCAGCTCTTTAAGCCACTCCTCATAGTGCTTCTTCTGACTAGTCCTGGTTTTGTTATGTTCTTGTGTTATATTGTGTTTTCTGTACTGATGGGCGTGCTGTCGCATGCTGGGCCTATAGCAATTGGCTTTTGAACAGGACATGCTCTTTGTGCCCAGTGGGAAGCCGGGGTGCCTCGGATGAGAGGCCCTATGGGTTTTCCTATACAAAGTCTTTAGAAGCTTAAAAGTTTAACAAAGTCCTTTATTATTGCTTAGGTCTTCAACAAACAATCTTAGATCTTCAACAAATCAAACAAATGCTTCTTAACTTGTCTACAATGGACAGGCAACTTGCTTGGAGAACTATTTCTTTCCTTTACGAGGAAAACCCTTTTTGACCCCTCCCTGGGCAATCTGCTTTCTAGGCTTTGCTGGTGTGGGCCCTACTCCCAGCTCCAAATTGCTTCTTGGGTACCCGAGTAAACCTACCAGCCAAGGCTCTGAAGAGTTTCCAGCTGGAGTCCTTAGGATTTTTTCCCACGAAAGTTGTAGGTCCGTTTCTCCAACCCCAACAAGGGTTGTGCTGTAAAGCTGTTTCTCTTAAAAGCCTTTCTTTAGAGACTGTTCTTAAAGCTGTGAGGCTGTAAATTCCCCAGCCAGAGCTTTTGGGACTGTTTTCCCCCAGACTTTGTAAGAAACGAAGCTTCTCTTCAGGTAGAAAACTTTCACGTCCTGTAGCTGAGCTTCCAACTGTAAGACTGAACTAAAATGGTTCCCTTTCCCTCCTGAACCTGGAACAAAGGGCGGAACTAAAACTTAATGATGATAGACAGGTGGCTAGCCCCATGACTGCAGCCTAGCAGGAACCACCCAACTGCAAAATGCATGGCCAGATAAGCACATGCAAACGCTCAAAGAACGAAAGGGAATTTGGAGCTCCTGGTACAGCCGTACCAGCACAATGGGTGTGGTCTCCTGTAAGCCGCACCGAGTCCCCCTCGGGGAGATGGAGCAGGGTATAAATAAAGTTATTATTATTATTATTATTATTATTATTATTATTCTCCAGACCGTTGGTCATTTTAGCACCCTCCTCTGGACACCTTCCAGCTCGTCAATATTTCCCTTAAATTACGGTGCCCAGACATGGACATCGTATTACTTTGGAAATAAGCCATGACAGAGGAGGGAAGGTCTGGCTTAGGAAGATTTCCATGTTTCTTATAATCATTAGTTCCATTTATACATTACATTTTTTCTCTCCTTACATTTAGCTCATTGCTGCGTAGGGTCCACTCCTGTAAAGCTGATAGTGCAGCTTCCAGATCCAAGAAAATATGGACGTCCTAGTTCTATACTGTATAAGAAAAACTTAGTGCAAGGAAGTGAACCTGGTTATATATACTATTATGCATCTGCCAGAAGTTAGCATACTGGAAGACCTAGTAAATACCTAGAGGGGGGATCTAGGAATTTCTAGATCCTCCAGGGCAACTCTAATGTATGTTTGGACCAGAAGTCATCAATTTCAGTAGAATTCACTATAATCAGTGTTTTCCAGGAATGTATCCCCTCATGGATATGGGGGGTCATACTGTATCAGTTTACCACAAACACCATTCATGCTTAAAGGGCCTCATTAAGAGATGAGTAAAACTGTGGGCCACTCATTGATTCAAAATCCCCAGCTCAATCTTTCGCTACAGGGCTTTGATGTACGGTGGTCCACGCTCTCGTTACATCCAAGATAGACTACTGCAACGCACTCTACGTGGGGTTGCCTTTGGAGGTGGTTCAGAAGCTTCAAATAGTCCAACGAGAGGCAGCCAGGTTAATAACTGGGGTGGCATACAGGGAGCATACTACTCCCATGTTACGTCAGCTCCACTGGCTGCCTGTTTGCTACCGGGCACAATTCAAAGTGCTGACTTTGGCTTATAAAGCCTTAAACGGCTCTGGCCCAGTTTACCTGTCTGAACGCATCTCTCATTACAAACCACTGCAGAAACTAATATCTTCTGGGGAGGCCCTGCTCTCGGTCCCGCCACCATCACAGGCGCGTTTGGCAGGGACGAGAGACAGGGCCTTCTCAGTGATTGCCCCCCAGTTATGGAACTTCCTTCCTGACAATATTAGATCAGCCCCCTCCCTCCTGTCCTTCAGAAGGATGGTGAAGACCTGACTGTGGGACCAAGCCTTTGGGGCAGTGCAATGAGGCAAAATGGTGTCCTGAGATGATTTTTAAGCAACTTAATGTAAATATAAGTGATTTTAATGTTTGTCTATATCTATACTAGCTGTCCCCTGCCAGGCGTTGCTGTGGCCCAGCCTGGTGATCTGGAAAATAAAGTAATGAGAAAGTGTTGGTTTCTAATATATGTAATTTCTTGATGCTTGTCAGTAAACAGCATTTCTTGCTGTGTTTTTTTCAGTGTTGATGTGGAGAGTGTCTGGTTTGCCTATTCTGGAACATGCAATATATTATTGTCCTTTCAAATCTATGATACTATATCTCTGTGTGTGTGAATCATTTATATCTATATATATATATATATATATATATATATATATGAATGGCTCTTTGTCGGGAGGGCTTTGATTACGTTTTCTTGCCCTGGTGAAGGGAGTTGGACTGGATGGCCTAAGTATGGGGGTTCTGTGTGGGAAGTTTGCCCCAGTTCTGTCGTTGGTCGGGTTCAGCATGCTCTTTAATTGTAGGTGAAGTATAAAACCCAGTAACTACAATTCCCAAATGTCAAGGTCTATTTCCCCCAAACTCCATCTGTATTCATAAATATGAGCATATGGTCATATGGAATATTCGTGCCAAGTTTGTTCCAGATCCATCATTGTTTAAGTCCACAAAGCTCTCTGGATGTAGGTGAACTACAACTCCCAAACTCAAGGTCAATGCCCACCAAACCCTTCTAGTGTTTTCTGGTGGTTATGAGAGTCCTGTGTGCCACGTGTGGTTCAATGCAGTCATTGGTGGAGTTCAGAATGCTGTTTGATTGTAGGTGAACTATAGATCCCAGCAACTACAACTCTCAAATGACAAAATCATTTTTTTTGAGTGAAGGACATACATTGGGTTGTTAGGTGTCTTGTGTCCAAATTTGGTGTCAATGCGTCCAGTGGTTTTTGAGTTCTGTGAATCCCACAAACAAACATTACATTTTTATTTATATAGATGGTTTTATGTCCCAGCATTGAATGTTTGCTGTATATATGTTGTGCTCTGCCTTGAGTCCCCTGCGGGGTGAGAAGGGTGGAATATAAATGTTTTAAATAAAATAATAAATAATAAATAAATGTAATGCATGTAAGATTTATTAATTTCCAAAACATGTACGGTTCTTTCTTTCTGACAGAGCACCGAGGCATTGTATGGCAGTGCCCCTGATCCATCAGTTGCTCCAACGTCACCAGAACAGGAAGGCAAGACTCTGATGAATGGCCTCGTGGGCTCCAGGCATCCCTCAAGCACCAGCCTCTCCCATGTGGCAAATGGGCCTACCCACTACGAGGATAATGTTGGCAGTCATGATGAGCCCACTGAATTGCCCAGCATGCCCACCCGACGCAGGCTGAGCAGGTAAAAACAGAAGGGGGTTTAGCTAGGCTCAGAAAGGAAGAAAATAATTGCGAGCCGTACAGGGTAGACATTCAAAGAGCCAGTATTCCGGGTATTCTTCACAAATCTTCTCTTCTCTGTTCAGACGGAGCTCTGATGGTAGCTGCATCCCGCCAACTGTGAAAGAGGAGAATACACACAATGAAGATTATGGCGAAGACACCTCAGTTGAGCAGGGTTACTACAGCCGGGAAGAGGATTCAGAGAGCCTGGCCTCTCGTGAAAGGTGAAAATATGGCCCTCAGATACTGACTATGACACTGTATCAAGGGTCTGGAGATTCTATATCAAGGGTCTGGGGAACAAGCCCTATGAGGAGCGGCTTAAAGAGCTGGGTATGTTTAGCCTGAAGAAGAGAAGGCTGAGACATGATGAGGGCCATGTATAAACATGTGAGGGGAAGTCATAGGGAGGAGGGAGCAAGCTTGGAGACTAGGATGCAATGGAACAATGGCTTCAAACTACAAGAAAGGAGATTCCATCTGAACATTAGGAAGAACTTCCTGACTGTGAGAGCCGTTCAGCAGTGGAACTCTCTGCCCTGGAGTGTGGTGGAGGCTCCTTCTTTGGAGGCTTTTAAACAGAGGCTGCATGGCCATTTGTTGGGGGTGCTTTGAATGCAATTTACTGCTTCTTGGCAGGGGGTTGGACTGGATGGCCCATGAGGTCTCTTCCAACTCTATGATTCTATGACTGGTCCTATCAACAAGTTAAAACAACAGAAGCAGAGGTCTAGTCTCATGCTCCAAATCCAGGGCCCCCAGAGCAGTACACAAGTAGAATCACTATAAATGGTTTGAAACAATCAAAAAGCTAATTTTAATAATAATAATAATAATAATAATAATAATAATAATAATAATAATAATCTTTATTTATACCCCGCCACCATCTCCCCGATGGGGACTCTGTCCATGGATTCAATGACCCTTTGAAAGCAACCACAGGGCTGATGTGGCGCTCCATGAAAATGCGGTTGAAAGCCCCGCTCTAGATTCTCCTAAACCTACTGCTGCTACATAGCTGGATTTACAAAGAACAAAGGCAGGTCAATAGGAAAAATTGGTTCCAAGGGACATTGTTCACTGTGGTTCTGTGCCTTTCTCCCCTGTACAGGCAGCCTTCTCTGCACAACCATCGGCCTCACCGCCATCACTGGGACAACGGGTATGGTGGCTCTTTGCCCCTTCCTTCCCGGCGCATGAACAACGGGCTTGTCAATGGAATGCTGGATGGCAGGCAACCCAAGCGCAGGCGCCTCTTGCCTCCCACGCCTACAGGTCAGTGGGTGACTGGGACTCGGGGTGTGCTGGGAAACTCAGAGAGGAAAACCTGCTAAAGTGATCTTATATGAGTCCCTAAGGAGAAGCCACTAACTACGACAGGGATGACCAATGGTGGCAGGGGCCTCTTGGACCTCCATGGAGTTTTGGTGCCTACTCCACCTTTTAATTTAAAGTTTTTGCCAGATACTTTTTAGCCTAAAAAAGTAATCCCTCCCTCCAAACTTCTGCTAACTACTTGTTTGAAAAAGACCCCCCCCCCCTTTTTTTTTTTTAGGCCTAAAGGTTGAGAATGGAATATGTGGTGAGATTGCTCCCACAGTCACAGGAAACACAGAATGCCACATTTTACAAGTAAAGTTTTTGCAGGGGACTATAGTTCCTGCAAGGCCCAAGACTCCCTAAAATGTCCTGGGTGGCAGTGCTCTTTCCCTTGGGTCTACAAAGAGCAAAATCAAGGGGAGGATCTTTTTGGACTGTGCCACGTTTAGGTTGCAGTCCATCTTCCATAGTTTGTCCATTACACAGCAGGCTTGGGGGAAAAGGGAACTGATTGCGAATAAAAGGCTAGTGTGTTAGGGAGCCCAACCTAGCCTTCTCACAGAAGCATTTATTTGACATTTCTCCATCCCTAAAATGCAATATGAAGTGTTGCAGACCAAGGTAAGCAGAAAGTAACAGTCCAGAGAAAGCTCTATGACATGGTAGCAGGCTATGCAAGCCCAACTGTATGTATATCAGTGAGCTAATCTGTGGAACATACAGAAGGTGGTACATTTAGTGAATTGTATTGTATTTTTAGAAGGGCTTGGCCTCATGTTAGCCACCCCGAGACCTCATTGGGGAGATGGTGGCAGGGTATAAATAAAGATGATGATGATGGTGATGATGATGATGATGATGATGATGATGATGATGATGGTGATGGTGATGGTGATGGTGATGATGATGATTATTATTATTTGAAACACAACAAGATGAGTCCACAGCAGACACTCTGCTGGCTGTTGAATTGGATCACACGTCGGACACTTCCCAAGTGTCTAGGACTGTGTGATGTATCGGTGAATAATGCATGCAGATCCCAGTAAGGTGGCCTTCTGCAGCTGGCAGATGGTAATTTTGTCTGCGACGATGGTGCTTAAGTGCAGGCCAAGGTCTTTAGGCACTGCACCCAGTGTGCCGATCACCACTGGGACCACCTTGACTGGCTTGTGCCAGAGTCTTTGCAGTTCAATCTTTAAATCCTCATATTGTGTCAGCTTTTCCAGTTGTTTCTCTGCAATCCTGCTGTCACCTGGGATGGCGACATTGACAATCCATACTTTGTTTTTTAACATGATTGTGAGATCAGGAGTGTTGTGTTCCAGAACTCTGTCTGTTTGAATTCGGAAGTCCCAGAAGAGTTTGGCGTGTTTATTCCCTGTAACTTTTTTCGGCTTGTGATCCCACCAGTTCTTTGTCGCAGGCAGATGGTATTTGTGGCACAAGTTCCAATGAATCATCTGAGCAATGGTGTTGTGCCTCTGCTTGTAGTCTGTCTACACAATCTTCTTGCAGCAGCTGAGGATGTGATCTATTGTTTCATCTGCTTTCTTGCAGAGTCTAGTTTTGGGATCTGTCGTCGAGTTTTCAATTCTTTCTTTGATTGCTATTATTATTATTATTATTATTATTATTATTATTATTATTATTAGTGAGAGTAAGAGGTAGAATGACAGTTAGAAGTGGTAGGACTCAGGTTCAAAACATTTGGAAGGCCAGCCATGCTGAGAGGAACACAGTAGTCTACCAGTTATCTCTGATGGCTTATCTGTTATTTTCTTCCTCGGGCAGGCCGAAAACCCACCTTCAACATCCAGTGCCTGCAGCGTCAAGGTAGCTGTGATGACATCCCCATCCCAGGCACCTACCACCAAAATGCCCCACCTTGCCGAGCACGTGCACAGGTACGTTCTCTCCAGCGTGCTTGAGAGGTGGTATGTGTGTGTACACATCTTCAAGTTGCAGTTTTTCTTAAGCAAGGATTTTCTTAAGCAAGGAATGCTCAGAGGGTACTTGCCATTTCCTTTCTCTAAAATATAGCCTATAGCAGCCCGTCTTAAAACCTTTTCCATGTTTTCTGGCCAATAATTCTTTACACAAACCCAGGTGTATAGGTGTATTAAATAGATATAAAAACAAAACATTTGCTGATAATAAACCAGCATTTGCAAGGCTTGCTAAAGAGGCTGATTTTTTTTGGAAGGAATAGCATTTTCTGCAGAATCCACTGCAAACACAGCATGTTGTTCTAACGGATTTGTGTAAATGGATGATGATCAGAAACCTTTTACTGTTGCCAATTTTTTGTAACCCCAAAATTGAGCCAAGGGGACTCCATTTGGCATTGGGACCCACAACTTAAGAAGTAGGGTCCTATAGCATTTGGTGTTCCCATATCTTAGCCCGGCCTTTTAAATTTTAAATTGCATTGAACAGGCAGGATTACTTTTAATATGTGTGTGTTATGGTGACAATTTTTATGCTTATATTTTGTTTTGTTAATCTTATGGTTATGTTGTTTTTACTTTGTATGTTTTGTGATGTTACCTGGGAACCGCTCTGAGTCCCCTCAGGGAGATGGAGCGGTATATAAAGTTTTATTATTTTATTATTATTATTCCCCGGTAGTCTCCCATCTAAGCACTAAGCAGGTCTGACTTAGCTTAACTTCCAAGATCAGACAGGATATGGTGCTTTTATGATATTTAGACTTTGTGAGATGGTAAGTGAAAGCTAAAAGTTGAAAAAATTGAAGAAAAGCAATACCATTTTACTCTGGAGCTTTCTTTGCCAGTTTCTGCATGCAAAACTGTAAAGGTACGCTTCCATATGATGGCTTTATGTGTCCTTAGACAGAAAACAGATCCAAAAGACCCTCCAAAGTCAGCACACTGAATATCCTATTTCAAATGCATGATTGGTATGCTATTTGCACTCAAAGCACAGGGCACAACAGCATATTTCGGGGCTGCCTTTTCTAGAAATGTTCTTTTTCTCATCCTCAAGCAAAGATATCCAAACAAATGGCCAATTTTTCAGGACTTTTTTTCAAATTTGTTAATAGTCCCAAATGTAAAAAATTGTCACAAAATGTGCAAAAGCTCTAAGTTTGCCCAGTCCAGAGACAATATTTGAAGTTATATGTTCTTGTATACAAAAAAAAAAATTAATTGTGTCAGGAGCAACTTGAAAAACTGCAAGTCGCTTCTGGTATGACAGATTTGGCTGTCTGCAAGGATGTTGCCCAGGGGACGCCCAGAGGATTTGATGTTTTTTACCATCCTTGTGGGAGGCTTCTCTCATGTCCCCGCATGAGGAGCTGGAGCTGATAGAGGGAGCTCATCCGCCTCTCCCCGGATTCGAACCTGCGACCTTCAGTCCTGCTGGCACAGGGGTTAACCTGTGTATTTCATACAAAAATGAAATAAATGAAGGAATTACATTCCAATCTTTTTCTAGTTGACTAATAATAATTATTATTATAAATAAATAAATAATAATAATAATAATAATAATAATAATAATAATAATAATTAATAAACTTTATTTATGCCCCGCCACCATCTCCCCAATGGGGACTCGAAGCGGCTTACATGAGGCCAAGCCCAAACAACAATTTACAATAAAGTAAAACCAAAAACACAAACTGAAAACGCAAACAATAAACAACAACATAATTACATAAAACATGTGAATACATAGCAATATAAAATTACAATAGGCACAATCAAAATGACAATGGGCAGGCTACATGTAATTATTAAAAGAGAAAATGATTAAAACTAATTAAAAACTCAGATGAGATAAAAGAGAGATAGATTATTTGCGGAGGAGGACTCATTATAGTGGGGGTTGTGGAATCAGGCTTTCCCACAAGGGGTGGCATATACTCTAATGACAAAAAGTTGAGGCTAAGTAATAGTGTGAGATTGTATACCTACTCATCAAAGACTAAGTCACTTTCATAATTGTTTTCAAATGTTATTTTGTTATCAAGGGATCTTGTAGTACCTTTGAGACACACTGAATAGTGCTTATAGCATACACTTTCACAGATTCAGTCTATAAGCTTCAGTGCTTATGCTACAAACGTTTTACTCTCAGTCCCGATGGTGCCATGAGATCCAATTGCCCACTTCCTTCAATGATTCTTGTGAAATGTGTGCTACGTTCCTCTTTTCAGAGTGTGAGTCACCTGAGAGGGGAAGACCACACAATTTGCTAGTTGCTGTTGGACCGCCCTAATCAGTATAGCCAACATTGAGAAAACAGTCCCAATGTGGCCACTGTCCTCCTGTTGGACTACTACGTGGCCATTATAGGTCATCCTGGGTTTTATAATGAATTCTCTTGTCTTAGGCCTTAGTCCAGGGGTCCTCAAACTAAGGCTCGAGGGCCAGATATGGCCCTCCAGGATCATTTACCAGGCCCTCGCTCAGGGTCAACCTAAGTCTTGAAAGCACACAACAACAACAATCCTATCTCATCAGCCAAAAGCAGGCCCACAGGCACTACAAATAAGATATGTGCAGTGTGCATAGGAATTCATTCATGTTTTTTTTTCCGAATTGTAATTTAGCCTCCAACAGTTTGAGGGACTATGACCTGGCCCTTTGTTTAAAAAGTATGGGGACCCCTGCCTTAGTCCCTCAGCCCCAAATTCAGAGACACTTTCTCTTTCCCACTGCCCAGGCAAATGTGAGAATAGTTACAAAGCTGAACCTATTCATTAAACTATTACATTGGTGAGTAACATATGGCCCTCCAGTTGTTGGACTCCAGTTCCCATAAACTCCTGCCAGCATGGCTTTAACCATGTCATGGATGCAAAGAGTTGCCATCTAACAACTTCTAAGGCACAGTGGTTCCCAACCAAGATTGATTGTGTTTGTATCCTCATGCTAAACCTTTCCTACCTGGAGAAGATGCAGGGTGGGAAGCTGAGAGTGTGTCCTAACTCGTCCTGTGAACTTCTTGCAATGCGTGGATGGGATCTGAACTTGGGGTTGTCTAGTCAATATGCTAGCCAGCACACCACACTGGAACTGTTCCCCCACCACGACACAAACACAATAAATTATGTTAATAGCATACTAAAATAGATCTATATAAATAAAAATGTAATGTTTGTTTGTGGGATTAACATAACTCAAAAACTACTTGATGAATTGCCGCCAAATTTGGCCACATCACACCTACTAACCCAAGGAGTGACTATCACACAAAAACAAATTCAATTTGTCATTTGGGAGTTGTAGTTGCTGGGATTTATAATTAACCTACAATCAGAGAGTATTCTAAACTCCATCAATGATGGAATTGAACCCAACGTGGCACACAGGACTTCCATGACCAACACTCAAAGGGTTTGGTGGGCATTGACCTTGAGTTTGGGAGTTATAGTTCACCTACATCCAGGGAGCACTGTGGACTCAAACAATGATGGATCTGGACCAAACTTGGCATGAAAACTCAATATTCCCAAATATGAACACAGATGGTGTTTGGGGGAAATAGACCTTGACATTTGGGAGTTGTAGTTACTGGGATTTATAGTTCACCTACAATCAAAGAGCATTCAGAACCTCACCAACGAAATAATTGGGGCAAACTTCCCAACGAGTGACCATTACTCGTAAAAACACTGAAAAACACAGCAGAAGAGACTTAAAAAGCCAAAAAACAAAAAATACATTACAATGAATGCGCAAACCCACATACATATATACACAAACACACATATACACAAATATATGCACACACAAAACACATATACACAGACTGGGCCACAGCAACGCGTGGCAGGGGACGGCTAGTTAATAATAAAGTGTGACAAGAGAGTTTTGCAGCTCCACCACGTCATCCAGGATAAGACTGCGTGTTGTGTGTGGTATGATGCTTTTTGTTTCAATTCTGGTGCTTTCTGTGTTGTCGAAGAGTTAAAGTCCATAATTGCTGCAATCTGTGTTCTAAAATAGTTGCACAACCCGATCACAGTGCCGTTGGGACCATGGCACCCAGCTTCACCTTGCCTCCTCTTTCCTCCATACCAGGGCTACGGCAACTACGACTCATGGCAGAGTGGCGGCCGCGGCTCCACAGCTTCCTCCCAATCATGGGCAACGCCACCAAAGCGGAGCCGTCTGCTTTATGCCCCGCTAATCCTGGTGGAAGGGGACGAGCTGCCTGGGCACAGCTGGGAGAAGAACAGCAGCCTTCCGCCCATGTCACGGGCAAGATGGTACATGAATGAGCCAGAGATGCCCTATCGCACCTACAGCCATCTCCATGTGCCTGGCCCGCTCAAGCACAGCTACGACAAGCGGGGCAGTGCGGACAGCCTGGTGGAGGCGGTGAGTGTGAAACAGGGTGTTTTCTTTGTATAATACAGTTATCTGGAGTCTCAAGGAGAATTGTCTCCAGTACTCCTCATAGATTCAGAACTGGATTTGGGAGGCTGCAGTGAGAGAGAGACACACACAAACATAGATGAGTGGCAATGGGTTCAGATGAGTTATACAAAAGCCCTGCAACTGCAATCCTTTGCTTTGATTTGCTAGTTAGGGCATGATAAATATGATCACTGGAAAGACTGCGTGCTACACTGACAATGATTAAATTGCCCCAAACACACAGCAAGGGCAGCCTGATTTTGTAGATTGAAACTAATTGTGCACAACAGCCTATGTCTCAGCAGTTACTTTGCACCATCAATTTCAGTCTGCTAGCCCAGGTGGATTAGCAAAGAGGTAAAAGCAAAGCACTGAAACCAAATGATCAATGGAAGACTTCCGTGCTTTCTAAGATAGTGCCAGGGGACTGTCCACAGGTTTTTGGGCCTGTTCTTAAACTATAGTTAAGGTTAAAGCCAGGCTGGTCTCTTCAAATGAAAAGGTGAATTTAGTATTTCTGAATTGTTATGAAAAGTCGTACCATTTCAGTATTTGACTTACATGTTGGTGAAAAGAAAAATGAGTCATTCTTCACTTATAGCTCCTCTTGACTCATTCTGCTTTTCATATGTTGAATGCCCTGGATTTTAGTAGCTATACATCACAATTGAAAAGCACAGTTTCAACATCTAGGCATGCCATAGGCATGGTCAGGAACAGAAGTGAGCAAACTATGGTTCGTAGGACACATCTGACACCACAGTCTTCCATAGTCTTCCATAGTCTTCCTTAGAATCTGACCCCCCTCCTATATATATATATATATATATACACACACACACACACACACACACACACACACACACGCTCTGTGCATAATGAGTTCCTTTAAAACAAAAGAACCAATGAACGAAATCACACCAAATTTGGCAACAAAACGTCTCACAACACAAGGAGTGACCATCACTCAAAAAATTATGATTTTGTCATTTGGGAGTTGTAGTTGCTGGGATTTATAGTTCACCTACAATCAAAGAGCACTCTGAACTCCATCAATGATGGAATTGAACCAAACTTGACACACAGAACTCCCATGACCAACAGAAAACTAGAAGGGTTTGGTGGCATTGACTTGAGTTTGGAGTTGTAGTTCACCTATATCCAGAGAGCACTGTGGACTCAAACAAGGATGAATCTCGACCAAACTTGGCATGAGTACTCATATGCCCAAATATGAACACAGATGGAGTTTGGGGGAAATAGACCTTGACATTTGGGAATTGCAGTCACTGGGATTCACAGTTCACTTACAATCAAAGAGCATTCTGAACCCCACGAACGACAGAATAGGGGCAAACTTCCCACACAGAACCTTGATGGCCAACAGAAAATACTTAAGGCCATCCAATCCAACTCCCTTCATCAGGGCAAGAAAACATAATCAAAGTCCTCCTGACAAAGAGCCATCCAGCCATAGATGATAGATAGATAGATAGATAGATAGATAGATAGATAGATAGATAGATAGACAGACAGACAGACAGACAGACAGACAGACAGACAGCTAGACAGAGATAGATATGATTCACACACACACATATTATCATTGCATGTTCCACAGTAGGCAAACCAGACAATCTCCACATCAACACTGACATAGAAACAACAAGGAATACTGTTTACCCACAAGCATAAAGGAATTACATATATTAGAAACCATTACTTTATTTTCCAGATCACCAGACTGGGCTACAGCAACGCGTGGCAGGGTCGGCTAGTGTATATATATACACACACACACAAGATTTCGATCTTCTTCTGGAGAGGCTCTTCTCTCGCTCCCTCCTGCATCGCAAGTGCGACTTGTGGGGATGAGAGAGAGGGCCTTCTCTGTGGTGGCCCCCCAGCTCTGGAATTCACTCCCCAGAGATATTAGGCAAAGCCCCACGCTGGCAATCTTCAGGAGAAACCTGAAAACATGGTTATTCCAATGTGCCTTCAATGATTGAATGTAAGATACACCCTGACCACATTTTGCACAAATGACTTCAGAAGCACTTTATTTTATGGTTCGTGCAATTAATTCCTTCCTCATCCCAGATCTCCCTTCCCAATAATTTACATTGCCCATTCTCCCAGTGTTTTAAAATTTTTATCCTTAAATTTGGCCCTGCCCCGTGTAATTCTCTGTGTTTAATGTCCGATTTTATACTGGTGTGTCGCTTATTATATTGGTTTTGCATTTTATGTTTTTTATTTTCTAGTTCTGTTTTTTTTAAAATACTTTTTATTAAATACATTTTCTCTTTAATTATACATAAAAACAGGATAAGGGTATAGGGTGATATTGGGCTGAATGTATACATAGAAATAGTTTCTAGTTCTGTTTTGCTTTTGTATTATATTGTGTTTACTGTACTGATGGGCGTAGCCTCATGTAAGCCGCCCTGAGTCACCCTGGGGAGATGGAGCGGAGTATAAATATATTATTATTATTATATATATTATTATTATATATTATTATTATTATTATTATTATTATTATTATTATTATTGGAGCCCCCGGTGGCACAGTGGGTTAAACCCCTGTGCTGGAAGGACTGAAGACCAACAGGTCGCATGTTCAAATCCAGGGAGAGCGTGGATGAGCTCCCTCTATCAGCTCCAGCTCTCCATGCAGGGACATGAGAGAAGCCTCCCACAAGGATGGTAAAACATCAAAACATTCAGGCGTCCCCTGGGCAATGTCCTTGCAGACGGCCAATTCTCTCACACCAGAAGTGACTTGCAGTTTCTCAAGTCGCTCCTGAAACGACCAAATAATAATATTAATATTAATAATAATAATTATTATTATTATTGGATCTATAGGTTGTGTTTGTAATGCTATGCCTTCTAGAGTTAAAACATAGCTGATTTTCCAGTTCAGGCATTGTGCCAATGAGGGCAAACCATTTTACAAACCATTTTGTCAGCTCATCATTTCTGATTTCCCTTTGCTTGTTTGAATTTCAAAGCGAATTTTGATCAGTCTCAGTTTTGTGCTCAATTGATAGGCAAGTTCTCTTAAATGTGCTTTGTTATGAGTCGTGGGTTCGGTACATATGGGAGGATTCAAAAGCTTTGTCCCTGTCTTCTTCTGTCTTCCAGGTGCTCATCTCTGAGGGCTTGGGCCTCTATGCTCGAGACCCCAAGTTTGTGGCCTTTACCAAGCGTGAAATTGCTGATGCCTGCCATATGACCATTGATGAAATGGAAAGTGCAGCAACAGACTTGCTTAGCCGCAGATATGTCGGCAGTGAAAACAGCAGCCGCAGTGGCAGCGGCAGCCACGGCATGTATAGCAGCGACGGGGAGCACAGCGGCGTTGGGAGCGTAGGCCCTGTTTATAGTGATGAGGAGCCCTTCCGTTCTCCTCGTGAGGAAGAGGACTTGGCGGATGAGATGGCCTGCGTCACCTCTTATTGACCATGAAGTGCCCCCTGGCGGGGCATGGAGAGACAGTCACAGAAAGCAAGAGATCCGGCTCTCGGGAACCTTTGGGCAAAGGGCAGAGACTCATCCAAAGCCGGTCTCAGGAAGGACACCAAATGCTGCTCTCTTGCTGGCCTAGGCAAAGCCAGCTACTAGAAGTGCTGTCTATGTACACCTCTGGTTTGGGCAGTCTGCTGCCCCTTCTCCAGACTATTGACTCCTCCTCGGTTGTGCAGCAAGGGAAACGCAGCCCTGGACTACTTCCTCTAGGGAAGGATTGTGGCTTTTGAAAAGCTGAAGGTTCATAATGAGATTGGGAAATGTCTCCTTTTTTTGTATCAGAAACAATAAATATTGTTTGAAAGATGAGGCAATCTGTTTTACTTGACCAAGTAGAACCGTGGTTCTCAAGCTTGCTAATGCCATGACCCCTTAATGCCGTTCCATATGTTTATTTATTATTTATTTATTTACTTTACTTGTATACCGCAGTTTCTCAGCCCAACAGGCGACTCAACGCGGTTTACAACAAGGATAAGAATCAATCAATGATATAAATTTAAAACCATAAAAGCATAATATACAATATTGACACAACAATAGATAACACAATGCATCTCATAACTAGAGTTGTGATCCAATCCATCGTCCAAATTTCCATTCCTGTAATCATCACATTCATTGCACTGTTTAACCGAATGCCCGTTCAAACATCCAAGTTTTTAATCTTCTTCGGAACACCATTAGCGAGGGGGCTGATCTTATCTCCATAGGAAGGGCGTTCCACAGCCGCGGGGCCACCACAGAAAAGGCCCTGTCTCTCGTCCCCGCCAGCCGCACCTGTGAAGCAGGCGGGAATAGAGAGCAGGGCCTCCCCAGAAGATCTTAGGGTCCTGGCGGGCTGATAGGCAGAGATACGTTCGGATAGGTAACTTGGGCCAGAACCGTTTAGGGCTTTATAGGCCAACGCCAGCACTTTGAATTGAGCCAGGTAGCAAATCGGCAGCCAGTGGAGCTGGTGCAGCAGAGGATTTGTATGCTTCCTGCGCTCCGCTCCTGTTAGTATCATGGCTGCTGAGCGTTGGACTAGCTGGAGCTTCCGAGCCGTCTTCAAAGGCAACCCCACGTAGAGAGCGTTGCAGTAGTCTAAACGGGATGTAACCAGAGCGTGGACTACTGTGGCCAAGTCAGACTTCCCAAGGTACGGGCGCAGTTGGCGCACGAGTTTTAACTGTGCAAATGCTCCCCTGGTCACCGCCGAAACCTGAGGTTCCAGGCTCAGCGATGAGTCCAGGATCACACCCAAACTGCGAACCTGCGTCTTCAGGGGGAGTGCGACCCCATCCAACACAGGCTGTAACCCTATACCCTGTTCGGCCTTACGACTGACCAGGAGTACCTCTGTCTTGTCTGGATTCAATTTCAATTTGTTCGCCCTCATCCAGCGGCCAAGCACCGGTTCAGGACCTCGACAGCCTCCTTAGTAGCAGGTGGAAAGGAGTGACAGAGTTGGACATCATCCGCGTACAGATGACATCGCACTCCGAAACTCTGGATGATCTCTCCCAGCGGCTTCATGTATATGTTAAATAACATGGGAGACAGTATTGAACCCTGAGGAACCCCACAAGACAAAGGTTGTGGTGACCCCCAACCATAATATTGTTTTTGTTGCTATTTGATACCTGTCATTTTAGTACTGTTATAAATCGTAATGTAAATATCCGATATGCAGGATATATTTTCATTCACTGGACTAAATTGAGCACAAATACCCAATATGCCCAAATGTGAATGCTAGTGGGGTTGGGGGGGATTGATTTTGTAATTTGGGAGTTGTAGTTGCTGGGATTTATAGTTCACTTATAATCAAAAAGCATTCTGAACTCCACCAGCGATGGATTTGAACCAAACTTGGCACACAGAACTCCCATGACCAAGAAAACACTGGAAGGGTTTTGTGGGCATTGACCTTGAGTTTGGGAGTTGTAGTGCACCTACATCCAGAGGAGCACTGTGGATTCATGCAATGATGGATCTGGACTAAACATGGCATGAATACTCAGTATGCCCAAATGTGAACACTGGTAGATTCTGGGGAAAATAGACCTTGACATTTGGGAGTTGTAGTTGTTGGGATTTATAGTTCACCTACAATCAAAGAGCATTCTGAACTCGACCAACAATAGAAGTGGGTCAAACTTCCCACACAGAATCCCAATGACCACCAGAAAATACCTTTGACACCCCCTCACGACCCCCTCAGGGGTCCTGACCCTCTGGTAGGAAAAACAGGCAATTCTCAGCCCTAGTTTCCCACCTTTTCTTGGTTTCCTTTAACCATCACTCACATTTTGTTGAATCATGTGTCCCATAAAAAAAAACAAATTTATTTATTATTATTTTATTTATTATTTACAGCTTTTATATTCCGCCCTTCTCATCCCGCAGGGGACTCAGGGCGGATTACAGTGTACACATATATGGCAAACATTCAATGCCAATTTTTGACATACAAACATATACAGACATACACAGAGGCTATTTAACTTTTTCTGGCCGCCAGGGGAGCTGTCACTTTCATCGTCCATCTGCAATTCTTTGCGTTGTCAATGGTTTTCATGGCTGGAATGACTGGGTTGCTGTGAGTTTTCCAGACTGTATGGCCATGTTCCAGAAGCATTCTCTCCTGGTGTTTTGCCCACATCTGGGCAAAGATGAGGGCGAAACATCAGGAGAGAATGCTTCTGGAACAGCCCAGAAAACTCACAGCAACCCAAATCAGAATATTTACTTTGTAAAAATAATTTATCCAGGATAACTGGATTGTTCCCATACTCTTCTCTCACAATCCCGGATAGGAAATAGTTCACATCTGTGTCCTGAAGGAATTGATTCCACTCTCTTTCATATTTCAAACTTGTGCACAACAACAGCATTTAATTACACCTTCACTTAGCTGGAAAGTTGGTGTCTGTTCTATTGTACTCTACTGCATTCCACTTTAATAGTTGCATGCACACAGCATCTCCAATGAGGTCAATCCCCATGGAGATGGGGACACAACCAGTCCATACTTCAGGAAATAAAGCCCGACTGCTCATTGGAGGGAAGGGTAGTAGAGGCCAAGATGAAGTACTTTGGCCATATCATGAGAAGAAAGGAAAGCTTAGAGAAGACAATGATGCTAGGGAAAATGGAAGGAAAAAGGAAGAGGGGCCGACCAAAGGCAAGATAGATGGATGGGATCCTTGAAGTGACTGGATTGACCTTGAAGGAGCTGGGGGTGGTGACGGCCAACAGGGAGCTTTGGCGTGGGCTGATCCATGAGGTCACGAAGAGTTGGAAGCAACTGAACGAATGAACAACAAAATGAAAAAAGAAACATAGAATCTATGAAATTCAACAATCAAAATATAATTATTATTTCCTGTCCCACCACCTCCTCATTCCCACCTGTGAACCCCCACTCATGACTTCCAACACCACACCAAATGGAACTAGTATCAAAGAGAAATCTGTCCTTATCATTACACTAATAAATTCCCTGTGCGGTTATTTAAAAAATCTATTTTGTCTTCTTTTTTAAATACCCAAAGGACGGTCTCCATTTTCTAGCAAACTCTTCTTTGTTTCCTCCACTTATGCCATTAAATCTTGGCCATTTAATATACTCAACTAATTTTCTTCTCCAATTTGTATAACCTGGAGACCAATCCTTTATTTTCTTTCTCCTAGGGAAGTAATGCTACCCCTCTATTCTGCCTTGGTTAGACCTCACCTGGAATATTGTGTTCAATTCTGGGCAACACAATTGAGGCGAGATATTGACAAGCTGGAATGGTTCCAGAGGAGGGTGACTAAAATGATCAAGGGCCTGGAGAACAAGCCCTATGAAGAGCGGCTTAAAGAGCTGGGCATGTTTAGCCTGAAGAAGAGAAGGCTGAGAGGAGATATGATAGCCATGTATAAATATGTGAGAGGAAGTCACTGGGGGGAGAGAGCAAGCTTGTTTTCTGCTTCCCTGGAGACTAGGACGCAATGGAACAATGGCTTCAAACTACAAGAAAGGAGATTCCATCTGAATATGAGGAAGAACATCCTGACTGTGAGAGCTGTTCAGCAGTGGAGTGTGGTGGAGGCTCCTTCTTTGGAAGCTTTTAAACAGAGGCTGTATGGCCATCTGTCGGGGGTGCTTTGAATGCAATTTTCCTGCTTCTTGGCAGGGGGTTGGACTGGATGGCCCATGAGGTCTCTTCCAACTCTATGATTCTATGACTCAATGAAAATATTCTCCAACTCCGATTTCCTTTTAGCAAACCCAATTTTATTGTCTTTCCTGAATATATAAATCTGTGAGATATTACTCAGCTTTGCTGTTGTTCCCTGAAGAGCAGAATCATTTGTAGCTTTTTAAGGTTTCTTTTCTGCGTGGCTGGCAGAAGAATCCACCTGCTCCATGGGTAAAAATGAGGCATCAAATAGGAGCAAAAGTGACTCAAAAAAGCTGCAGCTCAATAGTCTTTTGAAGTTTTTTCTGATAGGTAAAGAGAGAACATCTTAAGCTTTCCAGCAGGCACGGCTGAGCAAAACCGAGAACTAGCGTACAATCTGATAAATTCCTTTTCATGACAACAGGATTATGAAGGAAGCTACACACTCTGATCTGCATTAGTGAGCACAGTGCATCTCCATTTGTTAGCCTGCCCAACAATAGCCTTATTACATAGTTATACCCTACCTTTTTCAGGGCAGTGTGCATGATTCTTTCCTGAGACTAAACATATACTATAACACACTCTATCCATCAGCCTCACAGCAGCCGATGTAGGTCAGAATGAGGAGCAGTGACAAGTCCACCAAATGAGTTTAACCACAAGCCCTAGGCTTCTTCAATTGAATGCCTTACCTACTACAGTATGACTTCCGGATCCATGGGAGATATGTTCCAAGACACAGCAATGAGATCAGAGCTTTCCAAATTGTGTGTCGTGACACATTAGTGTGTCAGCAGCAGTGTGTAGGTGTATCATGCCAACATAATAAGAAACTTCTGGATCTATTTGAAATCTATATAAATAAAAATGTAATGTTTGTTTGTGGGATTAACATAACTCAAAAACTACTGGACGAATTGACACCAAATTTGGACACAATACTCGTATCAGGCCAACGTGTTGTAGTAGAGTCTGCTGGCAATGATATTACTACTAGTAGGAGTAGTAGAGGAGGGAAATGAGGTGCTCGGGTGCTAGAAGAAGAACAACAAAGGAAGAGAATCCAGGAGATACTTATGTCTCCCACAGACAGACTCCTTCGAAGGTTTCTCAGAGAGTGAAATGTGTGAGGAGGAGGAGGGAGATGGGAGT